AAATTAAAGAAGAAGGTTTAGATGTCCAGCCATGTGACAGGGTGTCTTCCATGGTTGACAAAAAATGGGCCGGAGCCAGTAGAGTTATTTAAGCTACAGTTGTATGCAAACACTATGGATTGGAGGAAATCCGACCATAAGTCTCTCGCTTCGGAGCAATAGATTGTAAGAGAGTTGGCTACTTTTACCATTCTTTCTACTTGACCATTAGCCTTGTGTCTATAACTGGTAGTATGAGATTCCAAGTGCTTTGTTGATTTGAAGAAAAAAGTTCGTATAGTAAGTTGGCAACATAAGGAATTGTAAAAGCATGTGGTAGTGGTTTTTAGGGCTTTTGTGTATTGGGAAAGGTCTTCGCAAAGGAAGGGTCATAAAGATCGTGTTAGGATCATATTACAAAGTACTTGTGCTCACACTTGGTGGTAAATCATGTTCGCAGCAGGAGTTAACCATATGGTGACTTGATGATATTAATACTCTATTGTGATTTGGATATTAGGTACATGTCGACAGTAGGCCTTGTGGCGATGGAGTCCTTTTTTGATTGAAAATTATGATAACTATACTTGAAATAATGTCTTAAATTTGAAAAAAAATATGTGTACCTCGAACGAGGACGAATACTTATATTATTATAATTATAATGCATTACACGAGGAGAAAAAGAGAAAAAAAGAAGTGAGGATAATATGGTATATATTTAGTTTCTTTAAGCGGAAAGAACAGTAATTTTGAATATGTAATTAAGTGATTATGGAAGGCTGTAAGTATATTTTGTACTAAAGTTCAATGTATATATTGGGTACTCATCGCCGGAATCGTAGAAGTATGAAGAACTTTTTATTTTATTATTATTATTATTGTTATTGGCCATTATATATTATTTACATGCATGACTGCAAGACAAGATGGTTTTAGTCTTATGGCGCCAGAGTGAGGGAAAAGTGATTTTGCGGCGGTGTTTGTAAGGATATTGGATTTTATGAGAAAATTTTGGGAGTAATGTTCAAATACGGGACCTCCATGTCAAGTTTAGAAGTTGCGCGCACTTCTAATTGGTCTTACACCCAGATTCCTCCATTATAAAGTTAA